GAATCGAAACTCTACTTAGGTTTCTCTCAATTAACTTTTTTTCTTTTTCTTTTGAATTATTACGAAATTTTCAACTCCGTCCGTCACATAACCTAAAAGGGAAGCGTGATCCGTGAACCTTTTAATAAGCTGATAACAGCTTATAAAATATCATCGTCCCAAGTGTTGTTTAGTGAAATGGTATTCCGTGAAAAGTGTGTGGTATTAATCTCGATTTATAACCGCGAAAGAATGTTTCTCCCTCCTCGAGATTCCCCATTGTTTGAACGTATAATCACGTGACAAACTGTCGAGCGTGATCTCATTCATTGTTTCGTTGTTGTAAATATCGAAAATAAAATAATAATAATAATAATAATAATAATAATAATTTTCAAAAGAAAAGATCGTTCGAAAAATTTTTCTTTTTTCACTTTTCAATTGTGCGATTTTTCTTATCGCTCAAATTATCACGTAAAACGGAAAGGAAAAATTGAAAAGTTGGTGGCTTCTGCCATTTGAAGTAATTGGATATCTCGTTTGAAGAAAATTTCATATTGTTAAATTTATTCTACGGATAAAGAAAAGGGAAAATTGATCTCTTTTACCGAGCGAGAAGTTGTAGAATGTTCGACCGAAATCCACGAGGAATCCAGCAACGATTAACGAGATCACGTGGATGATTCGAGGCTAGCCAAAGCAACGCGAGATAATCGTCTTATTATGCGTCTGGTTATGTCACGAAACCATCATATTCCCATATATCCGCCGTTTAACTCGTCTGCCGATCAGACCGATTCGATCGACGAATAATTTTCTTCTTATTACGACTCTTTCTCCTCTCGATGATTAATTTATCTATTTACAAAACGAAAGCTAAAAATTGATTGAAAATATTCCAACTGGAACGTACAAGCAACACACAGAGTCGTACAACAAGAGAAAAACATGTACTCGAGCATGTACTCGACAATCTCTCTTTTTTTCTCTCTTTTATTTTTTCCACTTACTCTTGAACAGCCGAGAGACTATAGTAACTCCCCTGTTGATGCTGCTGTTGCTGGTAGGGCGCCGACAAAATGGCGGGAACCTGGCCACCACCTCGATTGTCCTGATGGATCCTCGACTGCAGCTCGTCCAACGAGATAAACTCTTCCTGCTGGTGTTCCCGGCCAGGGGGGGGCTGGTGGAGGAGGTGAGCGTAGCTCTGCGCCATATCCTGGGCGACCATCTCCTGCTCGGGCCCCCTTTGGAAGCACAACAGGTCCTCCAACTCCTCCCTCTGCTCCCGATACCTTTCTATCTCCGGCTGTTCGCGGGGGTAACGGCGGCGATGATCCTGCTGGCTCTCTTGGGCCTGGCAAAGGGGCGGGGGGGTGGTGTTCACGCGGGTGCCATCGCCGACCACCACCGCGACATCGTCCCCCATGACACCACCGCTGTCCGCCAATAATCCACCCTCTGGGGACCAGCCAGTTTCTTTCTTTTGCGCTCTCAGAGGCGCGGTTGCAACGTGTGAACGAGTCGAAACGATCTTTTTTGGAAATAATTTTCCAATAATTTTGTTTTCGAGAACTGCTCGGGGAAAAAGTTGGATTTTCCGTTTGGAAATTTCGAACGAGTTAAAATTTTCTTATTTTATTTTTGCGAGTTTTCGAATATGGGAAGAGATCGAATCGAATTAATTTTTTAATGTCGTTCGATTAATGGGAGATTGGGAGAGATATGGGATCGTCGAATCGGTTTGGAATATTAATGGACGATCGGATATTAGTTCTTTTCCTCGAATCAAGATTTCGTGTTATTACGGTAAGATTCTAGTCGTTGTTTAATTACGTAATTATTTGCCGCGGTTTATCGTCTCGATGGAACGAGGAGAGAGCTTTCTTGAATAGAAAGGAGATTGAACGCCTAATACCGATCTAGGGAATTGGAATTATGCGTGATAAAACGTGTAATTCTCGAGAAAATTATTCCATTCTATTCCGTTCGAAAAATAGTTTCGTTTTTTCGCGCGAGTGTCGCTAGTCGAACGTTCATCCAGCCAACTTCATTCTAAAGTAGAAATTCTTGGATCGTTCGGAAAGTAGTTTCGTTTTTTCACGCGAGTGTCGCTAGTCGAACGTTCATCCAGCCAACTTCACTTTAGAGTAGAAATTCTTGGATCGTTCGGAAAGTAGTTTTTTCACGCGAGTGTCGCTAGTCGAACGTTTATCCAGCCAACTTCGTTCTAAATCGTGTTATTATTACATATTTCGAGAGTTAACTATATATTTCATGGTTTATTTGTAAGAAAAATTCGTTCGATTCTGTGGGATTGTGTTTTTCGTGCGATGATAACAAGATACAAGATCGAAAGGAATATATTTTACTTTTTTATTATCGAAAAGGTAAGAATAATGTTCAGAGAAGAAAAAAGATACGCCAAGTCTATGGAGAAAGTGTATTAACAGTGTTTGAAAACTGGTTTTCAATTCGAACCTCGAAAAAACGAAATTGCTTTCCGAACAACGTTCGTCTCGAAATATTTTTCTCGAATCTCTTCGATTTTTCCTTCGAATATTTCGGTCTCGTAACAAAGGGACAAATAAGTAAATAAATTTCCCGCGATTTCGCGATCGCTCGAGGAAGAATTATAATGATTAGACGGGTAACGAATCGAAGGTAAGATCACAGTCGAGGAGGCATTAATCGCGCCTCTTTCTCTCTCTCAGCCGACAGACAATTTCATATTTTTATGACATTTCGAACACACGTTCGAGCCGTTGCGTTAACAGCTTGCTTACGTGTCGATCCCACGACACGTGGAACGCTTTTACCGATACCGAAATGACGTAACGCGATGTGATTAACATCGCTGCGTTTCGTTCGAAGAATCATTCATTTTCGTTCATCGTTGCCGGACGATGGTGTGTTTCGAAACATCGCCGCGCGTGATCTATCCAACGAGATAGAATCTTCAGGTTTGAATGAAATTCTTGGAAATTTGATTCGACGATATTTGGGATGCAATAAATGTTTGATTTCGATAATAATTTTTTTCTCGAGGTAAAAAAGAAATGAGTACAAATTCGAACAATTTTTTGAAATTTTTTTGAAATTCCAGATTTATATGTGTGTATGTGTGTGTGTTTATTGCAAATGTTAAACGTTTGATATTTATGAATGCGTGTTTTTCTTCGAGGAAAAATAAGTCGGCGACTTTAAATCGCGGTGTCCAGGAAACAGGTTGAAAAGTTGATGAAGATGAATCGATGAGAAGAATCGAAATATTCGAATCAGGGAATAATAATGGTAATTATCTCTGATGATTCGGAATGTTGTTAATTATGCAATGGAAGAAAAGATCGAAATTTCTAGGAGAAAGTTACGTCGGATTTGTATTGAAATTGAAAAATTAACGATCATTATCCTTACGATAATGGTATAATTTCGTGATAAACATCGGTGGAAAATGTTTCTTACTTTTTCTTAAGAACACGTCTTTCGTTCCTTTTTCCATTTGTGAAATTTCCTACAATTATATTAAAATCAGCGATAGTGGTGATTATTCAATCCGTTAAATATTCAATCCTTTTTTCAAAATTTGAATTTGATGAAGCAACTTTATGATTAAAATAAAGTTACGTACGGAAAGGAGCGTCCAAACGAAATTGGAAATATGAGTTCAATCAAGAAGAATAATAATAATAAAAAAATTTTCAAATTCAATATTAGAAATTTCAACGTAATTTTTCCAATTTTTCTCGATTTCTTCTATTTTGACTCCAATCTGAAGAATCTTCTATTTGTATATTGAAGTGATAAAAAGATTTTTTTCAAGTGTTTCCCTTATCTACGTTTTCATCGCTTGATCTTCTCACGATTAATTTATCGAGTATTTTCAAATTGAAAAAAAAAAAAGAAAAAAAGAAAATCGATAAATACTTTCCACACACGCGCGCGTCTACTTTTCTTTTTCGAATCATTCGTTCAGTAACATTTTCTAAAACACGGTATCGAAATTCACTACTGGACGGTTGATATTCGATAAGTGTATATTTAGTAGATGTGTACGATGATGAAACGGGATCTGAAAAGTTTGCAAGTTTAAAAATAATTTAGAAAAAAAATGAATGGTCAGACGCAGATCGAATTGCACTTTTTTTTTTTTAATAGAAAATCGATGATAAACTTAATTTTTCGATTAAATTAAAAATTAAATAAGATTTAACAAATCCCACTTGTCAGCCATATATAAACTTTGAATATTCCAATTATTTTAATTTTTGTATCTATGAAGGTCAATGGAGGATAATAGATAAATATTTTAATCGATATATTATTATGCAAGACAGAAAGAAAAATAAAAAAAATTGGATAACAAAGATTTTCTTTCGAGCAATGTGTGCAATTCGATTCACCTTGAGAAATTGAGGAAAGGATGTGTAATAACAAGGCCGAGATAAGAAGATAATTTCATATCGAATCAGAAGAGAGTGATTCGAAACACGAAACTTGAAAAGAACAAAGAGGATAGTACGAGGAAAGAGAGATAAATAAACGACGAGAAAAGTTGAAAGAAGAAAGAAGAAGAAGAAGAAGAAGAAGAGATTAGAAATTTCCTTTTCCGGATGATCAGCTGATCCTACGAGTGAAGAATCGAGTATTTATCGCGTGAACGAACTCGTTGCGACAATCTTAGGTGATGTTAATGAAGAAATTTGGGAGATACCTTGAATAAGCGACGTGGAAATCCAGAGGCACATAGTTCGTCGACACGAGTTAATTCTAGCATCCTAGAAAGATGGTGCACATTTTTTTCACTGACACGTGTCGATTAATCCACCAAATTAATTCATTTTTTTTTTTTTTTTTTTCCGAA